CTCCAGCTGGTGTTTGCATAACACGGAATGAGAACCTCACTTAAAGCAGTGCTCCCTTTATTCTGTTTAAGTCTCCCTCTGTTAATTTCCTTTAAATGGCTCCCTCATGTAAATCTTGAGTCAAACCCTGAAATCAATGAATAGCTCTCACTGACTTCAGTAAGAAGGGTTTCATCATCTTTCTGCAAATCACGGTGACTACGTGTGCCTTTCATTACTTGATTTTCTTTTCTGATGGCTTCCTCATCATTTATTTCTTTTTCAGCCCAGTATAGCAGCACCTGAAGATAGAAAGGTTTTGAGATTCAGAATTCTCAATTTGCATGATAAAAATATTATGTCATGTGCAATTTAATTCAATGTTGGTGGTTCTTATTATTCCGATTACTTTTTCCTCTTGCTTCGTGGCTTTAGGATCACTGTACTTTTTATGAAAATCTCAGGTTTTCATATGCAAAGAACAAATTTCTAGTTCTCGTGCTCCCAAAGAAAAGCTCAGAAGCAAAAATTGAATCAATTGAGTAAATGAGTCAAAATAATTCCACAATGCTGCCCTCTGCCAAATAAACACCTCCCCAAACCATAAATATTTCTCATTTCCCAGGAAGTGACTCATGATTTTTGACCTTTTGGAATTACATGTATTGTTAAAACTGGATGTCATTTCTATTTTAAATCTTCTTTTGCGGGTGTTTGTTTTTTATTTATTTTGCATTTAACATTACTCTCCTGAAGTGAAATGTAGAATGTATCTTACAGAATACCGCACCATGAAATGGGGTTTGTTTGCAATTATTGTTTGAAAAACTCATGCCTGGGCAGATGGTTTTCACAGGTGTCCACACCAGCCAAATCTTGATTTAAATAAAGCCTTATACAAGGATGAATTTAACACCATAAGAATATATGTGAGATGTAATTAGTATGCTCATTCTTGCATTTTTGTAATAGAAAGTTGATCTCATACAAGTAAGACTAAGGGCATTTTGAGTGTTTAAAGTAGAAGGTGAGAAAATGCATTTCAAGAGTGAGGATGTGGCTGATCAAATCTGAATGGAGTTTCTTCATACACTGAAACTAGGAAAGTAATAAAATATACTGAGAATTTGAAATTTTCTGTAGGGTCATTGCAGAGATCAACATTCTGTCACTATGGAAGTAAAGGAACCCCAGGTTTTCAGATGCAGCATTGCCATAAGGAACTTTAACACCAAAGGCTTTATTCATTTCCATGGCAGCGTGGTATAAAACTGCAGTGCTCTTCTGCTTTCCAACCCGTATTCTATGGGAGCAGCTTTAGTGCAAATGTTGAGGTTGGTAAGGTCAGCAGCATATGCCTGCTGTTTTATTAACAACAAAAGAAGGTGTTTCTTAGGCTCACTATCTTATCAGATGCACAGTTCTAGACCAGTGGCTTTTGCAGGAGTTATCTGAACTAGTGACATTTCCTTATAGTGGCTGGTAATAAATTCCGAAAGACAAATTGTCAGGATATTAAAAATGAGTCTTCACTCTCTGCATTTGTGAAAAGCATTAGGTTATGAAAAACGTTGATTCTGCTTGTTGTTGAATAGAGGAGCTTCAGGGCTGAGAATCACAACTGCTTGGTTTGCTTCCCAGGCTTCTAACCCCTCAGTATTATTGTGTGAATTGTCTGCTGCTCAGTTGTGATATACTTTCAAGTATGAAGTTTTTTTCCTCAGCAGTGGGTTAAAGATCCTTTTGTGCTAATTGCCCAGTTCATATTTAACTACATGTGTGAACAGTGTTTATGTACTCTGAATTCTACATGTTTGACACTTTGCACATTATTTTCAGTGTGTTTAGCTGAGGTCTTCCGTTAGATCGTTGTCAGCCCATAAGCACTGCTATTGTATTCAAAATATATGAAATCTATGGGGCGATAAATTCAGAATGTGTTCTGCTTTGAACAATATTTTCTTTGTCTTCAACACAAATCTGTTCTCATCTCGTTTTTTTTCAAGATATTTTTAAAGACTTTTTCTCCTTAAGTGAAGGAGCTCAAAAGAAATTATTTTAATGTGATAGGCATTCAGGTCAATGGAAGATGAGAAAAATAAATTAAACAAATGCTTGTGCTTCTAAAAGATAATTAATTAAAAACTCTCAGTGTGGTGACAAATCTTGTCTGACGTGTGGAGATGTAGAAAGTACTCGGAGTTGCACAAGTAGAATAAAATGTTCCATCTCACAGCAAGGCCAAGCCTCAGTCTTGTAATTATTTCAAAGGGAGTAAAGGTCATTTTCTATTTCCTACAACTGTATTATGTGAGGCTTCTGTAACAGGCTAACAGAAGTTAACTCATGACCTATTTAGATTGACCAGATTTCAACTTATTCAGTCACAAATCAGATAAAATAGACACATTCCCTTCTCTAAGAGCACTGTCACAGATGATGTCCAAAGCAGCCTTTTACATTTATAGCCCTGTAAGACAAGAATTTCAACTTTGAGATGTCAGAAACTGGGAGATGGCAACATAATTTGCCTCTTTCCTGCTGTGTTAGTCCTTTAGGAGAAGAGTTATGTTTGTAGTTAAATTTCAGCCTATTCTGCTTGGGCTATTTTTCTGCTGTGGACTTGTTAAATAATTTTGCTTGAATTATTGCTAGCATCTTGAGATCAGGAGAATTTTCCTTCTGCTGTGATTGCATTTTTGTGCATATTCATCCAGTAATACCATGACTCAGAAAGACAGGTACTTTAAAAGCACACCTCTGTGCTGCGCAGATGTGTGCAGAAAATGCAAGTCTGACTTTCACAGCTCTCTGCACGTGACCACTGAAATGCACACCAGGCTATTTTTGATGGTCAGTAATCAACTTTTGTGCACAATTTTATTGGCAGGCTCTGAGTATATGTCTGTTGATGTTTAACAGATGCCTTGTACTGGAGGACCAAAGGGGACACTGTCCAACACTCAACCTCTGCAGAGTCTCCAATGAAATCAATATCTCACTCTCAATATTGAATGAGGGATTAGGCACTGTACTTTTTTAGGCCTTTGTAAGAATGGAAGCAGTTACACGGACATACAGAAGTGAATAATAGTCAAGTGTATTGCACCATTCTTCATGTATTACTTCAGGTCTTTCTTTGTTAATCTCTTGAAGGGATAAATGTAGCTCAGGCCAGGGAGGAAGGGGAAAGGTGTCCATTTACTGCTTCTGAAAACCGCCAGTTTGATTGTCACTATTTCTTAGTCTGCAGCACTTATAGCCAAGCTTTTACAGCAAGTGCCAGTGAAGTGAAGCAAATGATCCAGAGCCTGAATTCAGTGAGAACTAATGCAGACTAGGTTGGGTACCTTTGGGTGCCTTTGGTTTTTATTAATGGGGTCATGTGAAATTTTGTGAGTGTGTGGTGTGTGAATGGAGACAGCAGCAAATGCATCGCTATGATTTAGCAAGCAGATTACAGGTGGTGGAAAGTGGAAAACAGATGTTAAAACTTAGCAGGACATCTCTCTAGGATTAGGAACAATGTTAATGTAGAGAGAGAATCGAGGAATGTGTGGGATGCTGCTGTTGGGTCAGTATAAAGAACTGTACAGTTTGCTACTTGAGAGCTGGCTAAGGAGAAAACCTCCAACACTCACCTCTGTGATCTGGCAGAACAACTGTCCTCATTTTACAGCAGAAGAGCTTTATTAGCAAACTTTTACTCTGTCATGCTTAGTGTGTCTTAACAGACCCATTTGTGCAAGGCCACTTTGGGTTTGGCACTCGCATCTTCCAGGGTCACCATGCTTGCCTTAGTGGTTTTCTCCTTGGTTAATGTGGGTGCCTCTTCTCTGAGTGCTGTCTGAATGTCCAGCAGGCACAGATTGACCATAACACCTTTGATGAGAGCAGAGTGCTGTGTTCACCAGGTTAATGCTCCTTTCTGAAAAGCGCCTTTGGAGATTCTGAAGCAGAAAGCACTTTTGAAAATGCTGCTATGTTAGTTGGAAAATAAAGATTTGGGTTTTCCCACTCGCTTGAACTTTCCTCCTTTTGCCTTTCTCTTTAACCTCTTAACTTAGCAGCTTTTTCCTGCCGCCTCTTCCTCAGACATTCTTACCTCCATGCTCTATTTAAAAGCTGCCAGTAAAAATAGAGCTTCAGATTGTTGTCTGTAGTCAGGGATAGAACATAAACCTTCAGCAAGTGCAGCTGGCGTTGTACCTATTTCCAACAAATTTTATTTTTCTTTTAAGTTCCCTCCTTTGTGAAGGTGCTCCTGCAGTGACAAAGAACTCTGACCACACACCAACAATGATACAAAGTGTATTTACCTTTAACCTTCAGATCTACCTCCACTACGATGAATTAATTTTGTCTTCTCTCGGTGTAAATAAGTTTTTGATTACAGAAAAAATGACTGAACTGTGGCTCAGAGGTGAAAAAAGAAAAAATCAGTTCACATTTGGTAGCAAAAAAGGTGGTTTTGTTTTTTTGTTGGTGGTTTTTCTTTTCTTTCCTTTTATTGGCGTTGTTTTAAAGGAAATTTCTGTGATGTGAAATATCACCCTTGAATAAATAATTCCTTTTTTAACTTGGCGAATGAATTTTAAAAACTAGGCTTATGGACCCTAATTATCAGTTATTTAAATCAACTTAAAAGTCCTTAACTTAATCATATATTTAAACTGAATTGGATTTAACTTTTGTTGGTAGAAGCATCCTATGACTTCATAAAGACCAATAATATCCTGTATCCATCATCTGGACTGAGAACCTAGCCCTCACAGTTACTATATTTCGATATTTTGTGATCTCCGTGTCAACCAACACATATATAAAAGCAAAATCTAACTTAAAATATGTTCAGCAAGATTTGAAAAGAGAATTATGATGAGATAGATATTTTGTTTTATGAACATGAAGCTCGGTGTTTTGTTTTATGAGAACTGAGCCCAAATCCAGTATCGTTCCCAGAAGCTTACGTGATGAATGAGTGAGTGGATATTCAAAGTCAATTTCCTTTGTTTCCTCAGGTTCTGTTGCTTGCGTGTGCAGAAGATTTAGAATGCACCCCTGGATTCCAGCAGAAGGTTTTTTATATTGAACAGCGATTTAAATTCACAGAGGACCAGCCAATTCTGAACCGTATGTTATTTTCATTTATTAGTCTTCTGCAGAAATCAAAATCGCTTATATGTTCGTATCACTCCTGCCATTTATCAGAAAGCTTTTTATTGTACATAGGAGTTGAATATTGCCACGATTCTGCCTGTGTTCCCCTGCAGTAGTGCTATGTCTCTAGAGGTTTTACTTGGTTTCACGTATTAGAGATGTCAAAATACCATATATACATGCATTTAGAACAATATGTATATTGTCAAAACTCTAAATCATCCACTTCTGAAAAAGTAAATTTCCTCTGAAATATTTATAGTATTTCCCATAATCTTGGAAATTTCTTGGGCTTGCCTGTGAACGCTTCACTGTTCATTCAGCTCTGCAAGTCAGGTTTAGAAGCTTCATTCAAAGCTAGGGTATGTCCATGCCTCTACAAGAAATTTAGAGGAGACTGGATCATCAGAGACAGCAAACTCTAACATACATTGTACAAATAGAAATTCAGTAATATTTCCAAAGACCAGGTGTGACTTGATAAAATCCATGCTGGTACTGTATGCTCAAAGTATTAACTAAAGGAAATTTAATTCTCTTTCATTCCTGGTGTTAGTTTATTCATATGTTTTAATAAGCAAGTGTTACAGTTTGTTCATTTATTTCTGTGGCTTTGAGACTTCAGGAATGCAAACTCAAAGTCCTTAGCACCTTATTCAGTGGTCAGTGATCTTGAAAGAATTTTAAAAAAATAATTAAAAGAAAATAAATATTAAATGATGCAATTTTCATAACTTCCAAACATGTTGGTATTAGCACATGATATATTTTACTAATACGTTCTTAGTTATGCTTGGTTGCTTGCTGTTAAACCATGAATACTTCTAGATATGCAGCATGGCTGCTAGCATGTAAATACAGTATCTGGATCCCACGTGGCAGTTCATGGTCTGGTGAAACCAATATGCAAAGCAGTGTTACTCAGCAAATGCATGCATTTCTCATCTCAGTTACTTCCGGATATTTTTACAATGTACTGATATATGTGCACTGTTATGCTTGTTTGGAGGAAGGTATAATATATTTGCAAAGAGGCTTTAAAATACCACTTCCACAAATAATAATAAAAAAAGAAAACAAAAGCTAACAAACAGTGCTACTCAGAGATATAGGATTATTCAGTTTAAAACACAGATTTCAAACTTCCAGTTTCTGTTGGCAATTTTGCTTCCTTTTAAATTCTGAATTTGATTCACAGGACAGTTTCCAGTCATTTATAAACTCACCTTGATTGGCTTTAAGCCTTCCTTTGCTGTTAAAAGTAGAAATCTGTGGCATGCGTTTGATAAGCATGCAGCACTGAAGGCCTGTGCAAAGAAAGACAATACTAATTAGTTTAAGTTGAATAAAAATAGCTTTTGTTATATTCTTTGGGTACTTCTGAACTTTGAGAGTGTAGAACATGTGGCCAGATCTGCTAACTTGTGCTTGTCTTGCCAAACATGTAAAGGACAAGTTGGTTAAGCCTGCGTTGACTGGTGAGCTCTGTGGTGACCCAGTAAACTGCACTGGTGTGAAAGTGGTACATAAGAAACCATCATCAATGTAAACAGGAAGAAAGAACAGGAAGAGATCTAGAAATGCCTGGAAACTATCTTGGGAATTAAATTATTTTAATAAGCAGACACTAAATTGGCCTAATACATAATGCTGAACAAAGGCAGACTGTCAATGCATGATTCTAGTTAATGCAATCACTTGTAAATAGTATGTCCTTCATGCAGCAGAGTTAAACCTCTGCACAGTTTCTTCATTTTAGCTGTCAACAGAATTGATATTTTTAATTGTCTGTTTGAATACACTTTGCATGCTCTTGCATCTTTTTATACTCATTACCCAAGAGTGGTGTAATTTAGCAGTTGCATTGGAATGTGAGGCTTACCAGGGCTATGTAAATTAATAGACCGAATATGCAAAGCAGGTCTATAGCAGGGATTGCTTTTGTAGTCCTTGATAAGGCAAGGAGCTTCTTAATTCTTTTCTGAAGTGCTATAAAAGTCTTTCTCCTTTTTATTTTTCAATTTATACAAGGACCTATTGTACATTCCATTGCTAGCATCATCCTAGCAATTAAATATCGGTTATGGGTCTTTCTTATGTATCTACTACTTACAAATATGGTGGTGTTAATTATTTTATCCTTACTGGAAGAGAAACTCAAAGGCAGGGTATACACAATTTTCTTATTCTCATTTGTACTGCTTCTTATCAAAACTTACAATGCGAGTTGACCATAACAAGTACAGCAGCCTGCTTGTGATGCTTGCCCTCCTTCCTATTAATTTCACTGGGATCAGGTTGCAATTTGTTATCTTTTATCTCATTGTGCTAAGACTGAACTACTTTTTATTGATTAATCATTGTGTCCCATTTAACAGCAATCTCCAGCCTTATCCACTCTTCAATTTTCTTAATTTCGTTTGTTGAATTTTCTATGGATTTTTTTTCCTACATCAGACCTCCTTCTGTTATTATCCCTTGTGTCTTCTACGGCCACGCACAAAATGAGGCATTGCTCACCTGTTTGTGATCTGCCCAGTTCTTTCCTCAGTGCAATTTTCTTAAAACCAGGTGGTTCCTTGATATTCTGGGAGAGGATTTGTACAGTCACTCTCTGGAAATACTGTCACATCTGTCTACATAACTGCTGCTTTAGCAGGCAGTGACATCACCAGATTTTTCTTCTTTGTAGACCTGCAGTTTACACCTATAACCACCTTCTGTAATCAAATAGAGAAGATAGCAAAGATTCTTACTTTCTTGATAAGGCAGTAATTGACAGAATTTAACTGCAGGTTTTACCTATCAGATACATTTGTGGTCATCAAATTTTCTCATCAGCAAGTTTGTCTTTGGCAACACTGACAGGTCACTGGTAGTGACGGTGCTCCGTCATGCCAGGTAGATAGAAAGTTCCTAATCAGACCCATCAAATGTGGAAATGTAATTGCATTGCATTAATCATGTTTATACTTAACATACATGAGTCTTGGCTTTTGGGGGTATTTTTAATTGACAATAAATCAAATAGTACACTTGAAAAATTGAGGCAATTAACATAAAGGCGTTAGGTGGTGTGCTGTGCATACTAAGCTGGGGAATACACTGTCAGTGATCTAAATGTCAAAACAAAGGAAGCTTTGACCCTTACTTGAAAAGCTTTAATTTGGATGTTAATTAATGGCTGACCTCTTCTGTCTCTTACATGATAGATTGCATGTTCCAGAGCTTGGACTGTTTCAAGATCAGGGCTTTGTCTGTTTGCATTTGGATGCTTTCTTCATTCTGTAGATTTTAAATAAGACTTTCCTACTCAACCATATTGAAACTCTTTGTTTACTCATATGATGTGAAATTTATTAGTTTGCTTATCATTAATACTTAAAGGTAATTCTGCTCTTAAGGAAGGTTGAAGACTTCAAGATTTTCTTTGCTTTAGTAGAATAATGCTTGTGGAAAGATCAAAGTTACAGCATCAGGTGTGTACACAAATCGTAGTGCTGATCACACTCACATCACAACATTTCCTGCTGGCTCTTAGACAGGTAGATGAGGGCCATGTGAGATCTGTGATTTATCACATCCACTATTCCCACTGATTACCATGCCCTTTGTCTTTACAGATGGCCTCTTTCTGCAACTGGTTCACGCTACTGATATGACAGTGTTACTCTCTATTTACTCTTATCCATACAATTATCACATTTTTCATCTCTTCTGATTCACTTTTTTTTCTGCAACCTGCAAAGAGCCAATGTGGCAGACTAACCCAATATGCTGTAAAATGCCAAATTCTCCTTAATATTTTGGCTCTTCATGCTGAATATGGCAGGTTTTAGGTAATCACAGATAAAGGTATCAGCTGTAGCCTGTACATTCTGAGCTTAGGAGGGTAAAAGTAGATTACTTCACTTGAGATTAGATTATTATTATTATTGTTATTTTTCTGGAGACTTTCCAGGAACAATAATGGTTTGCAGATAATTCTTCTTGAAATTATGTGTAGGCTTTGGTTGACTGAAGCATGCCAGCTGTTCTTCTAATAGTCCAAATCAGTGACCAACTGCTCATTATTAGCAAGATGGGTCTGTTGCTCAGTGCAGTGCAAAACCTGTATTAACAATGTCCCCAGGTGCTCTAATGGAAGACTTTTCACTTCATTTCCAGTCGGCATTTCCAAACCAAAAATCAGATTAACTAAACTATTACTCTCTAATTGAAAAACAATGCAGGCCAAGAGGCAGCCTTCTTCAGGTATATTAATGTGTTGGAAGGCTGAAATCTTTATCTTTTAGGGTAATGTAGGCTTTTTGGTGCAGGACAACTCAACAAGCAAAGCTGATGCAAACTGCTCATAGGTGACAAAATGTAACAGGGTGATCTTCCTGAGAAAATATGGGTTAGGTGCAGGGCACAGTCTGGTGTTGCAGCCCCTTCCACGTCACTCCATCATGAGGAAGCTCTTTGGATTTGACAAACATATGTAGCACACATCTCTGCATGCTGAGACCTTCCTGCCTTTCAGTTAGTGAGTAGCTTTGTATTGTCACAGATTGCATTTCTGACAGCTTTTAATTTGAGGATCTTGGAAAAGCACCATTCAAAAGACAGCTAACCATTTCCATTGCACTTCAAAGTTCAGTGAGGACATTTAGCAAGAGTTAATGGAAGTAAGTGAGGTTAAATCTTTCTTTAAAAATAGAATCCTTTCTAAGTTAATGATATCTTAAAGCATGCAAGTATTCTTGAAAATAATTGCAGATGTAGTTCACAATTAATTTTTGGCTTTTAGGATTTATCTCTGCTAATCCAAATCAAATTAGAACTTTTTAAATGATTACACTCATGTTTCGACTCACAGTTTTTCTTTCCTTTTGCTTATTTAAAGCAGACTTTCCTGAACAGAGCAGTCTGTCTGCACACGTTGCCTACTGTCTGCTTTAATGGATGCATTTCCTTTTCACATAGCTTTC